ATGGTTCAGAACGGATTAACCGTATTTACATTGAACCTTATGGGAAAATTTGATTCGGGTCGCAACCAGAGTCGCGGAACGAATTAAGTTCATGACCCGAGGTACCACTGTATATATTTTATTTGACTTTAGACCACCCATTACCAAAGTCCCTAGGTGGTGTACAAGAATGTCAAAATTTTAATTATGTTAAATACAATTAAGTTATCATTTTGATGAGAGGGTTAATTTAAAAAAAAATGATCTATTCACTATTGTAGGCCAATAAAAACAAGTTGCAAAGGGGGAAATGAAAGAAAATGGATGGAAGGGAACAGAAGAGCAGGTAGAATGAAGAATGATGAATGAAGATACATATTCGGTATGTTATAATCTAGAAGCCCCTTTACTGAAATATGTCATTCAATATGAAGATAATTATTTCCAGGCCCTGGAGTATAGTGACAGAGTGCATGGAGGCACAATGGAAAGTGGAGACAGAGGAATCATTAACAGAAGAATGTGAATGAAATGGAACAAGCTACTCTATACAGGGAAGCAACTTTCACAGTGAGGAATATGTTCTGTGGACTATGTCCAACATATTTCAAAAAGCTCTGTTTTAAATGATCAAAGGAGGAAAACTGTCACCAATTTTCCTGAAATCTGATACTTGTTAATTCTCTGGAGCTCAGCCATGTTTGCTTTCCTTCTTCAGATTGGTCTTTCCTTAGTAGATATTTGCATTTATTTTCACACTGTGCTGGCATCATTTAAAATAATCAGATGGGATACAAGCAAAGACCTTTTTCAGTGCAAATCTCATCACACTTAATGAAAATGGCATGTAACCTACTCCAAATATCAGATTATGCTACCTCTGTTTTAAAACAGAGATGGAAAGTCATAATTATTCCTTATCATTTCTGATCTCAGTCCTTCATCAAATTAGTATCTAATCATGCACTGCTCTGGGCATATACTATGATCCCTGCACCTTGAACTGGTTGGCCTAATGACAGCATTTTCCATTAACTGCAATTTCTAGACACTTTTCCAGAGTAGCTCCTCATGAAGCACATCACAATAGTCAAGACAGAATGTAAGCAAGTTGTGGCTAATAACTGCTGAATCTGACCAGCTTAGGAAGAGAGAAAACTGGCACACTGGATATAAGTGTGAGAAGGTGGCCCTCACCACAACTGCCACAGTTGTGAGTCAAGTGATAGCTAAGGATCAAGGAGCACTCCAAGACTACAAACCTCTTGTTCCAGAAGTATAACCTTTTTCAAAATAACCTGAACCTCAATCCCCAAATTTGAACTCTTACCATAGCACTTCCATGTTCTCAGATTTAATTTCAGCTTATTGGATGTAGGAAAATAATAAAATAAAATAAATCATAATTACTGCTATACCATAGGAAGTTCTGCTATGGAACAATGACAGTGCCTTTGTGATCATCAACTCCTTCTACTGCTAGCTATCATAATAGTGATTATTAAAGTCAATGAAAATCTTATTGGAAATACTTGAAAATGTTAACAAGAATACAAAAGGTCTCTTACTGTTCCCAGAAGGCACTGTGATTCCTGGATAGCTCCATAACATCCTAGGAAACCCACAAACATCATCACTGCTCCAACTGCAATCAGAATGTAGATTCCTGGAGGGGAAGATGAAAGACACGCATGTTCATTAACTTAGAATGAAAACATTTTATTATGTGATTAACGGGCCTGGTTATTTTGTGAAAGTTGGATTACAGAGTTAGGTAGTGCCAGGAAGACAACAACCCACCTCACACATACATAGTTATGTTCAGAAAATAATATGATTCAAATTGGATCAAACAAAAGCTATGCCTTGGACCACATTGTGTTTCCAAAAGTAGTAAATCAGATGCTTCTGAGTAGCTCACAAAGATGTGCATGAAGGGAGTTTCCCAGCACTTCATATTCAAATCAAGATAACTTCTGCATATGGAAGCTTCTAAATTATCACTTCCAATGCAGCAATTATCCACAAATTGGTCAAAAACCTTTTTGAAGGCACAGAAGCTCATAGCAATGAAAACTATATGTCAGTTAAGCATTGTAAGTAGCACAGAACCCTACTGCCCACTCCCATATACAGTATATCAGCTCCATTCTGCATCACCAAAGTTAGGGATAATTGGAATTTTTTTTGAACAACTTTAGATAGTTAAACATCCCTCTCCTAAATTATACAACATCGAATGATTTTGAAGAGATTCAGTTAGAGACAATCCAGTCTGACAATACTATGCTATTCTTGGGCATTATTTCTAATATAATTCTAAAAGAATAGTTGATCAAATGCTATCATGAGAAAGTCAAATGCTTCTTATTGTGTGAGATTTCTTGCTTGCTTGCTTGCAGTTAGCAGTTAGTCAGCTGAGGGAGGCAAGTATTTTTCAAGACTGTAGCAAGCATGAAGGGGCAAGTTCTGGGCCTGACTCATAGCAGTGGTCACACTTTAGATTTGGGTTTTGTCTTGGGAGAGTGATGATGTGACCTAGAGTTGGAGAATATCACCATCAGTCCCCTGCCATGGACAGATCACTCTCTGTTTGCCCTGAAGAAGGAAGGACCTATTTGACTGGTCTACCCCAAGCAATCAATGGACTGTGTTTGAGAACTTAGGGCTGTTCCTCAGTCTCTGACACATGGTTTGACGAAGGGCTTGGTCACCACCTGGAATGTAAGGTTATGGCCTTGGATCACATCTGTGCACTCTCACTGCCATAGATCTCAAAGAACTCCCTGGTTTTCTGAGGAACTCCAGGAGATGAAATGGCAGAAAAGTTGCCAAGAGCCAAGAGGAAGATGAAGAGTGAATCTGATCAAGGACAGGTAAAAGCCTTTGGTGAAAAGAGCAGCAAACCACAGCCATGTTTTCATTTCTACTGCATTCTCAGATGACCTTGTTTAAGATAGCCAAGTCTCTTTGGGGAAAGAGGGACTGGAAGAACATTTAGGGGAGATGTGAAGATTACTCTAGGATCCGTTGGATAAAATTGCACAGATTCACTCTGAATTAGATTCTGGATGTGCAGGTCCCTTGGAATTGACCAAAACATGATTTAGAATGGTTACCTTGGAAGAGTTTGAACCTGTTGGTACTGAAGAAGTGGACTGGGTCTTCAGTGCTGTGAGTTTAGCTATCTGTGTATTAGATCCTCATCCCTCAAAGTTGGTTAAGACCACCTGAGAGACAATGAAAAATGCATTCTTGAAGGAGGGGGTGATTTTTATGGCTCTTAAAGGAGCAATGGTCTGCTTCTACCTCAAGAAGCCATTCCTGGATCCAGCATTCCTGGAGAATTTTCATCCTGTTTCCAACCTCCCCTTTGTAGGAAAGTTGTTGAGAGGTTTGCAGCTCCAGAAAGCCCTGGAAAAAATGGATTATCTGGGCCCTTTCAGTCAGGTTTCAGATGAGAATTGAGTACTGAGACAGCACTGATCACACTTTGGAGGAACCAGGATGGGGGTAGTACATCTATCCTAGCCCTCCTTTATCTCTTAGTGGCTTCCAATACCACTGACCATGGTATTCATTTGGAACATTTTTCAGGTTTGGGAGTGGAAGACCCAGTGTTGTAATAGTTCTCCTTCTTCCTCCAGGGTTGGTTCCAGTTGGTATTGGTAGTGGGGGAAGAGATCTAGCTTGAGATCCCCTGCTTTGTGCCACATTCTCCCCACTCCTATTTGACATCTACCTAAAACTGCTGGATGAGGTCATTTGTGCTGTAATGGGGCTGCCCTTGAAGACTATCCAAAAGCCACAACTGGTCCAGAATACAGTAGTGCGAGTAGTTATGGGCATACCATGGTGCCCCCATGGAACACCACTACTTCATGAGCTGAACTGGCTCCTTATAGACTTTTGGGTGCAATGTAAGGTGCTGGCTATTACATATAATGCTCCTTCATGTCACAGGGATGGGTTATTTATGGGACTGCATAACTCCAATCAGCTCTGCTCATCCCATGAGATTCAGGACAGTGGGAAAACTTGAGGTCCGTTCTTCAAAACAACGTCACCTGGTGGGACCTAGGAGGCACGCCTTCTCTGTCATACCCCAATCTTGCTGGCATTCCATACGGCCCTGAAAAACCTGACTCTTCCCCAGGTACTGGGCCAATGTATGGGAATGAGCCCATTCAAAATTGAAAGGACATGAACTGAATAAATTGTGGTTGGCCTGGTTCATTCTGTTCTGGATCTCTGTTATGTTTTCTTTTTCATTCCTTTGTTTTTTATGCTTTTAACTCTTTGTTAAGTTGCCCAGAGATACTTTTGTGAGTTAATAAACCAATAACCAAAAAAAAAAAAAAAAGAAAATAATCCTTTCCCCTTGGAAGCAATCCTGAAAAAAAAAAAAAAAATAATAATAATAATAATATCATCACAAAATCCAAAGATCTGTAAATAGAAGTAGAACGACTGTGGCAAATGAAAGCAAAGATAGTACCAGTAGTAATAGGTGCCTTGGATGCAATCCCAAAACATCTGGCACACCACTTCAACACCATTGGCATTGACAAAATCACCATCAGTCAATTGCAAAAAGTAGCTCTAGTTGGAACAGCTTACACCCTGCGACGATACCTTTAACACCATCAAGCAACAACATCTACCTATCCCAGGCCCTTGGGAAGGACTTGATAAGTGGATAAAAATGCCAAATCCAGTCTAAACTTCTGGCTGACTGTACAACCAACAATAATAATATCTAAACATGTATGCAGCCCAACTCTCAATGATTCTGGGCAGCTCAAAATCCTTCTAGAAGTGTAATGGTATGTGGGAATGACCTTGGGAGATGGGAAGAAGAGCTGCAGATTAGACAATGGTCAGATAAGAGGCAGCTGAGTCCGCAGAAGGAATGGGGGAGTGTCAAATGTCTCAGAAGGGACCATCCCTAGTTTCTTGGACTGTAAAGGGGTGTGTGTGTGTGGGGGGGGGGGGGGGAGATGTACTTTCAGACTTGCAAGATTCTGTTAATGTAACCTTACAGTAAAGTTGGAGCTAG